GCCACCAGCTGCAAGAACAGCTACCAGCAGTGGCACATGCTCCACACAGCCACAAGCTCTTGCAGTAAGCAGGATCAGCTGTATTCAGTAGCATTCCCCACTGGAAATTTGCAGAAAAATCCTTGTGCCACGCAGAGCACCACTGTATCCTCAGCTTGCCTGGTCTCTGGAAGGCAGCAGTGAGGTATTAGCTGCATGGAAGGTGCCTGCAGGGAGCAGAAACAGTGAGGGAGAACAGGGGTGACAGCTTTTTGGCACTGGGTCACGGCACTGATTCAAGCCTAGCATTTTTGTGACAACAGAATGGTGTGTTTCCAGCTGTATTGCATTACCAGGGAGGAAGGGCTGGAGTGAGTATAAAGAAATCTAAAGGTGGTCACTGGGGAAAGACTTCCTTGCAGATGGCAAATTCCTGGCCTTGAGCAGTGGTCACCTGGCCTGTCTCAGCTGCAGCTAAGCAGAAAATGACCTCTGCCAGAATTCATCCAGGTGTTCAGGATGCTCATCCCCCACCAGAAACCACCCCACAGCACTCTCTCCTAACTTGCTGGTTTAACCACGTACCCTCACCTTTGCCCAGATTTGATAACAGATAACTTTAAACTCCACCTGAGGCAACAGCCACCACTTCTGCAGTGCAACACAAAGGCTCTCAGCACACTCTACCAGCAGCACTGGCTGCTGTGCTACAAGGAGACAGGGAGAAAGGAAGGAATGCCAGAGACCTGTGCCCTGAAACCCATCACTCTTTTCACTGACACCCCACATTCAAATCTCTGACAAGCTCTTCTTTCATGGAACCTGTACCCCAGCAGAGGAAGTAATTTACAGATATCTGCCCTGACAAGGAGACAAGGAGAACAGAGGGAATGAAGAGTGATGTCTGCCTGCAGTGACAGCTCTGTTGCAGAGCTACAAATCCCAGCTTTCCCTGAGACAAACGTAAAACTTCCTCCAGCACACTAAATCCAGGTCAAATACATAGAGGAGTACCAATAAGAGAATCTTCTTTCCCAGCTTATTTCCTTTCCAAAACTACAGATGATCAGGTCCAGCCACTTGAGAAGCACTTGCAAACCAACCATTTCTAGAAGCAAGAGAAGAAACACAGCCCTGCTCTCACGTCAGAGTGACAAACCTTTGTAAAACGATTCGCTTCCCTTCCCTCCTACTCAATCGTGTTTCAAAAAACATTTCGTTCAAAAGCAGCTCTTTAAAGAGGTTATATAATAAGTGATTTGTACCACAAGGCTGGCTAGTTTTAGCCCAGCTACTTAGATCATAGTTGGATTTTATTTCCTGGTTAGCTGGCGGGACTCATGTCCAGTGATGAGCCTGTGGGCAGAGGATGCTCCTGGCCACTGCACTTCCCAGCCAGGAGAGCCAGCATCACAGTGCTCTGCTGTTTCTGCCTATTCAGTAATGAGCTCTGCTGTTGTATCTGTCCAACTCCAGCTCCCAGACAGGAAGGAAAGTGGGCAGTGCTTGAAGATTCTTACTTTTTCACAGATCACGGTTATGTTTAACATGCTCCATAGTCACAGCAGCCAAAAAGCCATTTGCAGCAGCACCGGGCTCCCCAGGGGCCAATCTCAGCACAAAGAACCCTTGCTGAAAGTTTAGTGAGGTCATATGTCTGGCAAATGTAATGGCAACAAATTAAACTACTTTTTTAAGAACTTGGCTTCCACCGTGCCTTGGAGATCCAAAACAAAATCCTTAACTCTTCGTAGCCTCCTCCTGCACAGAGCTCACCACGTCAGGTTTTCAAGGCAGGATTTGTCCCCGAGCAGTGCAGAGGCCATGTCAGCCCAAGGACAAGCCACAGGCTGCTCCTCACTTGGCTGCTCCCTGAGTTAGCAGCTTCACAAATGGGACACTGCAGATATGCCCAAGTAAAAAAAAAAGATCAGGAGTGTAAAAGTAAAAGTGGGTTTAACTCACTCCAGAAGCCACTCTCTCCTCAGCACTCAAAAACTGTGGCGCTTAGTGGATAAAGTATGGAGCCTCAGGACAAGACAGGCAACAGGATTTGGGCTCAAGATTTTTTTTTAATGGTTGTTCAATCTTTAAGCACAAGGATTTCAATGTAGTCTCCAAGCCTTGCCTGCCTCTCAAGCAATAGCCAGCCTTCAGAAGTGCTGGTACATTTTAAGTCTTGTTCCAGGTAAAAGGGCTGTAAAGGGGAAAATGAAGTTGCTGAGATTTAGGACGAAGAAGGTAAATAATACTGTCAGAATCTTTTCAGATTACCTTTCTCACCTCCTAAATCATAGAGAGGTTGTAAGATTCTCTCTCCTCCTGACTCCCCACTCCCACCCCCCGGGGTTACTGATACAACAACAACACAGAACAAGAAGGTAAGAAAAGCAATTTTCCCAATCTGCTGCTTTTGATTGGGATAGTTATTTTTTTACTCAGTAGCTCCTATACAGTAGCTCCTGTTCCAGATTTCTGCTGGTAACAGAGTTGAAAATTCAGGGATGCTTTTGTTGCTGCTGAGCAGTGCTTACACAGAGCCAAGGCCTTTTCTGCTTCTCACCCCACCCCAAGAGAGGAGGCTGAGGGACAAAGAGTTGGGAGGGGACAACCAGGACAGCTGAGCCCAACTGACCCAAGGGATATTCCAACCATGTGGCATCATGCTCAGCATGTAAAGCTGGAGGAACAGAGAGAAAGGGAGGGCATTCACAGTGCTGGCATTTGTCCTCCCAAGTCACCATTACATGTGATGGAGCCCTGCTGTCCTGGGGAAGGCTGAACACCTGCCTGCCCATGGCAAGTGGTGAATGAATTCCACATTTTGCTTTACCTGATCAACTGTCTTCATCTCAACCCACAAGTTTTCTCACTTTTAGTCTTCTGATTCTCTTCCCCATCTCGGGGCGAGTGAGGGATTAGCTGCCAACTGGGGTTCAAACACAACACCCTACAACCCACTTGTCCTCAGCACTTGAGCATTTAACCTGTTTTAGAAGTACAATTATGTCTTTCAAATGGATTCACTCAGAACATCTGAAAAGGAAAAGCATCTGTATCAAAAGTGCCCAAATGTGGACACCTCTGGACACACATGAAATGTGCCAATTGTACTGCCATCCTCTCTAAAATACTATATACAGTTGCTTCTGTGTCTCTAAACACATTAAAAGGATGCAAAGGCTATTTTTAAAGTACATCACAGAATATTCTGAGTTGAAGGAATCCTCAAGGATTATGGAATCCAGCTCTAAGTGAATGGCCCATGCAGGGATCAAATCCACAACTCTGGCATTATGAGCACCACGCTCTGACTGAGCTTAAAAACTTGTGCAGGAATGTTTCAATTTTCCCCTCCACACCTCAATCCCAAAGGCCAGCCCACAACACTGAGGATCAAGTTGAAAGTTTAGGCTCTTGCAAGTGATTTTTGTCATTGTTTCGGTGGCAGCAGATCAGGGCAGGAACAGCTGTTTTTCTAGCAGCAAATTGGCCACAGCATCTTTGAGTCCCCTCCTCCCCACCCATCTGCATCACCACACAAGCTCATTTCAATGAATATGATGTCAGTCTCTCAGCAAAAAGCCACTGAAAGCTTAGAGCAAGAGCACAGAATATCACCAGTGAATTGATTCCATTAAGGGAAAGTAATGATTTATCAGACTCAGAGCCTGGAAACAGAAAACAAAGTCTGTGGCAGAGCAGAGAGAAACTCATCATCAACCAAGCATGGAAATGAGAAATCTCTCAGCCTCCCACAAATGAAGGAGTGAAATATTGTGATCATGCCAGCAAGGGGCTCTCAGAGATGTACAAAGGACCAGGAGGGAAGGAGACCAGAAGCTTCCTCATGGCTGGCAGGAAAACACAACCAGCTCCCCCCATGTGGGATGAGCAGCATTAACACCCCCAAGGTACTGTCCCTGCAACACAGCCTGCAACAAAACAGGTGCAACACCAGAAACCATCCCAAAGCCAAAACCACACGGCCTGGCCTTAAAACCAGCCAAACCCCATGGGAAGTAAGGATGCCAGCCTGTCCTCAGGCAAGCATCCAGAGTGCCACAACACGTGTGGAGATGGAGGCCCTGGAAGCTGTGCTAGGCTGGCAGGTGCTGGTGGCACAAGGTGCCACCAGAGGCAGGGGCTGAGGCAGCCTGTCTGTCTGCAGAGGTCAGACAGACCTCAGTGAGGATGGTAACCCTGGGGTGCTCAAGCTTCTCCAGGAATGTGGGTCAGAGTTTATTGCAAGAAAGGAGACCACCAGTATGTGTTAGCAGAAGAGGTGTTGCAGACAGGATCTCCCAGAAGTCCAAATTCTTGTGCAGCTACATACTGAACACCTGCCCAAGCCCCAGAACAGTCAGGAGGAGCAACGAGGGGAGGAAGGTGCCAGTGATGAGCTACTCAATTGTGAAAACATCTGCAAAATGACCAAAAATTAAACACAGTCCAGTATGAGAGGAGGGGAGTTCCATGATGGAGAAAACATTCCACTGTTTAGTTCTCTTCCTGTCCCTTTGCCCTGTCTTTAATTTAAGAAGCAAAGATGAAGCAGAATCTCCCTGGAAATCACCCTGCATCTGACACGCTGGGGCCTCTGTTCCAGCCTCAATCATTTTTCCTATGTTGCACATGGGAGCAGGTTGAATGTATCAGATTTAATCACCTCTGCACAAACACCATCCAGGGTCTCAGCTGCTGTGTCAGATTTGCTGTGTGAGACTTGGCTGAGACAAACCTTTCCAGGTGCCAGCTGCACAGGACCTCACCTGCTCCATATGGTCCTAGACCAGAGGTGAAATACCACTGCCCCAAATACCTGAGAGCACTTTGCTTCTCACCTTCAGGCAGCACACGCCTCAGCAACAAGCCCACTACAGCCTGGCATCTGGCAACTCCAAATTGCTTACACACTTTAACTTAGTAGGACCAGAGAGAGGAGAGATGTGACCTTCCTGGTTAGTATTCAGTCCACATGCTGGCTGCTGTACTTCTGGAAAGCACAAGAGTTCACAATTGTTACCCACACTTACGAATAAAATATTGCTTTTATTTTAGTGAAGTTACAAAGCTATTTACAGATACAGTAACTATACATTCCAATTGAAAAATAGATTGTGCTCAAAATTGTTAAAGCAAGTCACACACAGTCTGTTAGGAACACAAACAACCTCAAACCTCCCAATTCCTTCAGCTCCTGTCTGATCTCAGGAAATCAGTTTGTTTTGTTCTGAATGATCTTCTGCTGAGTCTCAAGACATTCCTTCAGCTTGTCTTCAGTGAGTGTCAGCCTCTGCTCCAGGATGGAAACTGTCTGCAAAACAAAGTGAAAGCTGCTGTTGAGCTACTGACAAAGACACACTGCACACTGTACTCTCAATAAAATGTGCCCAATAAAATGCTAAATTCACAGGAATATTTCGAGGCATTTCTAGGCTGGAACTCCAGTGTCAGCATTCCAGCAGGGCAGAGCCCCACATGACTTCAGAGAGGAGCAATAGCAGACAGTGGGTACAAAGCCCTCCTGCAGACAACACCAAGCACCCATTTCAGCACTGCTGCTTTCAGACTGGGCTCTGCACTTCCTTTCCTGGACAGGTTCATGAGGCACCAGACACTTCTGCTAACGAGACACACTGATTTTAAACAAATTTGCCCAGTTATGGCTGTGATTTTATCTCTTTGCTTCCAACCATTTCCTCCCTTCCCTGAACACCACGGGTCTGCTGTAATTAAAACACTCAAAACTTGCTGGACAAGCACCATGACAGGCAAGAAAACCTACCCAGCCCAAGACAATGCAGCAGGAGATGGAGGGGAAAAATTCCAAGAGGCAATATCTACCTCAACATAATGCCTACATTTCTTTGTGTAATCCAGTTACCCTGCAAAGGATTGCTCTCTTTCTCCTCGAGCTGAAGTCATCATGTACAGGATGCACAGGAAGAACATTTTAACCACGTGGCAATAAAAGCTTCTGCTGAAAACCTTTTATTGATCACTCCAAGATAATCAAGGGCCCCAGCTATGCACAACCACTTTCAGCTTCCAGAGACACCAGAATGGCTGATAATGGGTGGTGATGATTTAATGCTTTAATATCCATAAACTTATCAGCAACGATCGATAGCTTCACATTTTGGGCATTTTTACTGAAATAACATCCTCTGCTAAAAACAAAGGATGCTCAGAACCTTGGACTTTAATAAAGTAATTCAAATAAACTTGGACAACCGCTGTTTGTATAGCAGTTATACATAGAAAGCCTTTTAATAGCACATTTCGTAAGCACATCTCTAAGTGCCTGACAAAAGCAAACAGGTCTCATTATCCCCATTTTACAGCTGGGGAAACGAAAGCACAAAGAGAGGAAATAGCTTGGCTAAGGCCACTTGAGACTAAGAAAAGTCTGCTGTAAAATGATTTGGGGAATGAGATAAGTCGTGGGGGAGAAGAGAAAACAGACATAGTAAAAACAACAGAAGGCAAAGCCATCTTGCAAGACTGTATCAAGGAAGTCAGGAAGGGCTTGAGGTTGTCCAGTGCATCATACTGCACCTTTTTCTCCTCCCTAAACACAGTTCAAAGCTTACTTCTAATATATTTCTTATTTCTGAGCTGTGACAAGGCAGAAGAGCTCTGCTACAGCTGTAGAAAGCTTCACCTGAAAGAATAAACCCTGCATTGCCCAAATATTCCATGGGCTACAGCACCAGCTGCATTTAAGTTTTTTCCTCTTCTATTTCCATCCCTTAGAGGCACAGAAACTGAAGTACACAGAGAACCAGAAGAAACATTGTGGAGCCAGCAGGTAACATCCCAGGTGCCCCAGAGCCAGCAGCAGCCCTTCCATCTATTCAAAGGAGAGAGGACTTAATCTTTTCCACATCCAGCCATGCCATTGCCTAGTGACTGTCTTGGAGACCAGGACAAAGCTACCAAGGGCAGAACACAGCAGGCCAAATGTCTACCAAGGCTTTACAGCAAAAATCTTATCCTTTAAACAACCAGACAGAGAATGAAAACCAGTAGGGATCCTGGCTTTTCCATCTAAAAAATGAACTAGTAACTCAACACTCCAATAAAGAGAGAGAGAATGAAACATTGCATCAAATTTCCTTTAGAACGATAACCAGCTGAATTAAAGGCTCAGCCACAGTGCCCTGCCAGAAGCAATGCCCAGATCACTCGTGCTTCCTCTGTTCCATGATTTACTGCCACCACGATCCTGTCAATAGGAGTTAAGAGCTGTTACACACGGCACCATGAGACACAAGTAAAGCAGATTTCACAAAGTGTTGAATTCGTGAGAAAGCTGTAAGGAAAATGTTTATTGGAATGGAAACTGCATGTAAGTATAAGCAGAAACTTGCAGTAAGTATTTTTTGGAAACTAAAAGTGGAAAAGTAGCAGTCAGAAATGAAATTCAGGAAGACCAAAGTAGGAATCAATGACTATAGTCCATTTAGACTTGAATGTATGATGAATATAAATAGACAGGGCATCTGATATCCTAGGAAGGTAAGGGAAAGCACAAATACTGCCCAGCTGCTCTAAGTGCTATATTGCAACTTGCACAGAAAAGCCCCTTTATTAGCAGCTGAAAGTTTTACAATATTTCCATGCTGCTATTTATAAAGCAAATCATTCTCAGGAGGCAAAAGAAACTGCACCCATTCAACTCCTGCATGCTTTGCTATGGCTTCTCAAAGATAACAAGCCAGCAGTTAAGCCAAGGAGGAGAACACTGTTAGCCAGATCCAGTGAGGATTCACCAGAGCCCAGTTTGCACCCTGTGGCAGGGTCTGGGCTTCCTGGTCTGTCAGGAATACAGTACATGTCTCCATTACGCACCAGAGAGTAAATGCTGGATAATTTATTAAAGTCCTGGCTCAAATTGGCAAAAGGTTAACAGCTTAGGCTTAAACAAGAAAAAAAGGCCAAGCTATTTATTTTGTAAGGAGTATTTCTGGCATTACTGTAATATACTGAGCATTACTATGGGCACCAGAACAGAATACAGGAATTTTTCACAGAAAACTTAAATCACGTCTACCAACACTTCTGGCAACATTTGTCTTCATTTATCTTCACAGACTCAACATTGAAAAAAAAAATCTTCTCTTTGGAAACATTAATGAGAAATTATGGAGAAATAAAAAGTTACCTCCAATTGACTTAAAAATTCTGGGGAATATTCACTTCCATCCTCCCCCAGGACACCTGAACTGAGGCACCCAGCAGTCATGCTTGCTTACCTGATGGCAAGCCCCTTATGCCATTATTTTCACAACCCAAATAACAGTGATTTGGGATGCTGTTCCAAGATGCTCTCATCAGTATCTTTTCCTGAGCCCCTCTTAAACATGTTTGATTAAGCAGCAGAGACAGTTCAAAAGCCACTGGCCTCAGGGTAGAAGCTTCTGCAGCAGCCCTGGAGGGGCTTTTGAGGAGGACAGATAAGGGGAACCAGCTGCTAATTGAATGCCAAAAGAAACCAGTTCCACCAGCACTGAAGGAAATCTGAACAAAAGTCCAGAGCCAGGGAGCAGAGGTCACCAGCAAGGCTCTGGAGCAGCAGTGGAGTCCCTGGCAGGAGAGATCCAGCCAGGCAGGTGGCTGCTGTGGGCTGAAGCAGGACTGAGCCTGGAGCTGGGGACAAGGTGGGCAGGGGCACAGAAGGGAGGAATAACCAATGCTCGGCTCACCCTGCTCAGGGACACTCTCTGCAAGGCCAAAAGTGCAGCACAGGGCCTTTCCAGTATGCAGTCACAGTGGCTCTGAGTTAGCCATGGAGTAGCACAGGGGACAGAACTGCCTGACTGATCACCAGAAATCAGGGAACCCACCCCAAAAAGTATGGCCACAGCAGTTCCTCAGATAAGTATCAATAGCTCGGCTGAACTTACAAGGGATATGATCCTGCACAGTGCCTGCACCACAGATGTGTTCTTGGCTCTGTGCAGGAAAAATAGGACACTTGCACTTCTATTCCTGTTTCTTCATAGCAGAAAATCCCTCTCTCCACTGATCTCAAAGGAAGCAGAAGTAGTTTTCCAGCTTTACTTAAAAAGATCCTCAAAAGTTTGCTCCACTGTTTTTTCTAAGCATATGCTAAAACCTTTTGCAGAGCACTAAGATATCAAATAGCTCAAAGAAAAAAAACATTACTTCTGCCTCTTCACATTTTTCTTCCTGTTTTTTCTAAGCATATGCTAAAACCTTTTGCAGAGCACTAACATATCAAACAGCTCAAAGAAAAAACATTACTTCTGCCTCTTCACATTTTTCTTCACTATCTGACATGTTAATTTATAAGACAGCATTTTCTTTTCAATTTATAGAAAAAAAAATCACCCACAATAAGCACACAACAAATGCAGAAGTTTGTAAGTTTCTGCACCCACACTTTCTCCACTCCACTGTGTAGGTAAAAGGAAGAACTTAGGGATTGATGGTTTTTAAAAGGTCCATTGAAGACTACAGATTGCCCATAGATTTACAGAATAGGACTATCACATTTGACCTGGAGTTGCAGGTTAGAGAGCTCTGCCCTCTGTAACAAGCATGGCCAGTGCAGGTGTGTTTTCAAAGATGCCCTGCTGCAACTTCAGGTGATTTTTCCTAAAATTAGCAATTTCAGAGCCCACTTTACTCCCAAACATGGCCAAGAAGTACATGTGAACTGCATCATAAAAATGCTGCCTTAGCATCCAAGGGCAGCCAGGTAAATCAAGCTTGGGAGCCCTTTCTCTAAACTAATGCAATGAGTGAAACAAACTACTACAGGAAGGGTTTGCACTGGGGTAGCCCTACCTACCTTTTCCAGGAGGAAAAAAACCTGAACTCCCACCACTAATCACAGTTTACAACTCCAAACTGCAGCTGCAAGATTGAAAGGCTCATGGGAGAACTCAGACAGCGAGAGCTCAAGCACGAACCTGTCTGGCAAGAAGAGCTTCTCCTCCTCCCATACCAGGCTGGGTTTTGCCCCAACATGCAGCCAGTGCCCCTCCAGCTCAGCAGCTGCACTTGGACCCCCAGAGCAGATCCCTGCTCTTACCAAGCACACTTGAAGAGAGCTGGGCTGCTCTCCTCACGTGCAGATCATAATTTAACAGCTTTGAGGTGGCCCCCAAGCCAGCTACACCTTCTGCACCTCTGAAGAAATCTCAGCAGAGCTGGCAGTTCAGACTGAGTGAGAAGTCTCATCTCACAGCAGAACAAGGCATGAAGCTTTCACAGAATTAACACTTTATGTGGCAAACAAATGACTGCAAGGACCAGCCTTACTCCAGTGGTCAAAGCCTTAAC